AGAACATTCAAGTTGAAACATATATTATTCTATTTTTTTCTCCAGGAGCTGTTAAAGATAGAATTTTTGACTTACCACTAAACGTTTTGGCATACATTACAGGACATAGGATCCTTAGCCTTTATCATGGGTTATATTGAGCTATATTCAGGTAATTGGACACTAGCAAAAAAGCTGCAGGCACATCCCCTATATAATCCCTCCCACTCTCAACTAGTCTAATTTTTGTAGCAAGCAATAGGGAGACAAAAGAACAGAGAGAAGGAACTGTGTTTCAAGAAACTGATTTTACTGGTAAGATCAGAAATCCTATTTTCCCAATCAGTACAGTATGGGATACGGAATCACTAGTCTTTACCATGGGATGTCTAAAAGCAGTCCAATGGAGGGTTGGGCGAATTAGCAAACACAACCAACAGGACCATCTTGCCAAACAGAGGGGAGGGGAGGGGCCAAACAGATATTCACCTTCAAAGGGAAGGTATTCAAGGCATTTCTTATATGAGGCAGGACATCCAACTGGGGCAATTGTCTCAGCAGAAAGTATTGAGGCCCTATGAAGATAAACTACCACCCCCTTGGAGTTGTGGGCTGAGTATGAGCTAGCGAGGCCATCTAACCCTGTTTTTCCCTTGTGCTTAGGATCTACCATGTGCGGTGCAGAGTGGCACTTACAGCTTCCACTACTGTGAAGAGATAGGGAAAGACTTCTAGTGCCAAGAACTGGGGGTTGCTGAAAGCCCAGGTAGTATAGCTGATTACTGTGCTGTGCCAATTATGGTGGATAAGAGATAAGATAGATAGATAGATAGATAGATAGATACTGTAGATAGATAGATAGATAGATAGACAGACAGACAGACAGATAGATAGATAGATAGATAGATAGATAGATAGATAGATAGATACGCAAAGATACTTATTTATTTCTGTGTTAAAACACAGTGAAATATTAGTTTGATATCACTGTCCTCTATATAAAAGCATACTAAAGAAAAAGGCAAGAAAAGTGTCCAAGCAGGACCCAGTACCCTCAGCAACATTACAGGCCAGTTCCACTCTCCCTTCATTCGCTATGTGATGTCTGTTTATTTGTTCGTGCTATATAAGCCAGTTATAGACTTGGGTGGTGGCCATCTTTTTATTTGCATGTTGGAGTTTAGGTACGTGGGTGCACTAGGATGTCCTGGCTGCCATTGTGCTATATGCTAGGGTCCTGTGCACTCCTTTGCCTTTAAGAGGGGTGGGCTCCCTCAAGTCCACCTGCCCTTGATCTATCCATTAAATACATGTGCCTCTACTATGGGGGCTCTCAGAAATTGTAGAGTTAGGACCACAGATTATCAGGGTGCCGTGACGTGGCTCTGTGGCTTACGTATGTATTTTCAAATGTGTGCTAACTAAACCCCTGTTATAAACGCATACTGTTAGACAGATTAATTCGGTTGTTGGCAAGCTGGCTGGCAAGTTGTCCAAGAACATTGTTCTCTCCCCTTCATTCGTTATGTGATGCCTGTTTATGTGTCCTTGCTATATAAGCCAGTTATGGACTTGGGGCGGTTGCCATATTTTTATTTTTATTTTTATTTATCAGCTCCACTTTCCACCCCTCTTCTCTATATTAAATAAATGTTTTTGTCACTGTCTCTAGCCCCATCAGAGATTGGTATTTAAAGTTGAACTCCAGGCTAACAGCTAAATACGCAAATTAAATACATATAAAAAACTGCCATATCTGCCAAAGGATTTGTATTTCTGTCAATCCAGCTCTGAGATTTACATGGGTCTGCCACACAGCAGAGCCCTGTCTGGCAGGGCAGGAGACCTAATCGGTCTCTGCTACAGTTCAGGTAAATTTATAGGTATCCTCTTCACCCCCAGCCTCTTATAAGACAGTGCAGGAGAAGCAGCACACTGATTAGCTCATTTCTCACTCTGCTCTCTCCTCCTGTCAGCATGCTCCTTGCAATGTAGTACAACTGATTGGCCATTTATGCTGCATCTCTCTCCCTCTTTTTTAACTCTGCTGTACAGGGACTTTAGGGGGGGTGATACCAAATCAAATTCAGGAGCTTGCATTACTTGCTTTAAAAAAATAACTTCAAAATGTTCTAAGGCATCAGCCATGTCCTTTTCTTTTTTGAGACAAACTATTTTTCTGCATATGTCTATTAAACCATTAAAATGTCTCAGCTCCTGTAATAGTGGACAGTAATAGGTAGATTTAGGATACTCATAATAAACAATGCAACACTTGCATAATTTAGCACAATGAATGTAGTAAAAACATTGATAGTAAGAGGCAAAGCAAATAATATTTCACTTGCAATTCAAACCAATTTGCCTTGTGCCAGACCATGATGCATTTTATCTGTGTTATCTGAAGAATTCCCAGAATGCTGCTTCTGTGAACACGTAATAAATCTGACAGCAAATTGCAGCTGGCAAACAGATATGTCAATCTGTCATTTTTAAGTCAATGGTGCATCTATCTGAGCTAAGGTCAAGCAGATATTTGAAAGTTTGTGATGCAGGGTGAAGGAATGTGGAAATCAGTCTAGTGATGTGCATAGTGGAGAATTCAAGTCAAAATTTGGAAAACCATTAATATGAGCTTGAACTCTATTTCTTTGTGTTTTCATGGCTTACTAGGAAGATATACCATAGTTCTTAGCATTTAAAGGGTCAACCCTGCAAAATCTATAAAATAGTGTTTTATACATACTGAACGGAAAAGCCACAAGACAGTTTTGGCATATGTTGACAGGTTTTTGTTTTTGCTTCAAGGAAGTTTTGCATTCCCCTTCCAGTCTAAAAAAAAATGCAAGACTTGTTTGAAGCAGGCCAGAAGGGGGTCAATAGCACCTGTCATCTCAAACTCCTGTCAAACTAATGCCACTGACAAAAGTCCAATGCCCCCAATGTAGACTTTTTCATATATCTCTTAGAGACTCTATTGATAAGATCTCTTTGTGCATGTTAAGCATTTATGCAGATGTAGGATCTGGATAGGCCCTCAGAAATAGGGATCATGTGCACAGTCAAATGTTTTTTTCTTAGGATTTGGCTAGCCTAAGTACAACTTTGTCTGTAGTGCATCTGAACTTATGGGCATACCCTGAATTTACTGAGCTGAACCCCATTGTTTAGGGTCAATAAGTAAATTATATTGTGTGCACTGATTACACATCATGCTGAATGACTGGAGGCCGAGGCCGTGCCACAGTTGCATGAATGAGTTATTCAGGACCAATATGTACGGTAAATATAAAGTCCATGTAATCACTAGCATGTAGAGAGGGCTCTCCAGGGGCCCCTTCTCTATACTGTAATAGTCCCAAAGCCCATGCAAGTGCCATCCTGTTTGCTCCTCTGTGTACAGATGACAAGATGAAAACCCCAGTACACCCATTACCCTGGTCCACTACAGTGCTGACCCCTTGATTTGGTCATAGTAGCTGAATGCACTTCAAGATTTCTGGAGCTGTGCATCATTGTGTGTATGGACCCAGGGGCGGACTGACCATTTGGAAACTCGGGCACTGCCCGAGGGCCCGGGGTCAGTAGGGGGCCCCATGAGATGCCCCTGGTACCTTTTTCATAGGCTTTTTTGAGTTTGGGCAAGGTCACAGGGGCCCCATGATCCCCTATTGCCTGGGGACCCCATGAGTTGTCAGTCAGTTGTCAGTATGGACCCATAACATTGCTTCATTCAGATCCTTAAAAAAGTGTACCTGTTTTAGATCTAAATGCAGAGTATTTTGCACCTGTGTTCACGAGCCTATAGATACCTCTTGTCCTCAATATAAAACAACTGTCTGGCAGCTGACATTGCAGTATGTATATTCCTACTAGAAGACTATGTTCCCTCCAATAAAGGATGTATAGGGAAGAGAGAGAATATAATTATTTAAACCATATTCTTGGCTTTGGCAGCAATTTCAGAGAATGCAATTTCCTTACTATATAACTGACAGGGAGGAGTGGCAGCTACTATATACATGGGATTATATTATAGTAAACTGTATAGCAGCTCAGAGCACACAGCAATATTAGTGGGACTGCTGCATTTTATGTGATGGAATCAGCAGGTAATCATGTTACCCTATGTACAGTGGCAGAGTCATAAGTGCTACTCAGACCACACCATAGTCATAATGATGGAACAAGACTTAACAAATCTTGCAAAATACTCAAATAGCTTTTTAAATATGGAAAACTAATTGGGTAAAAAATACATTCCTGAAACAGCTGAAAAAGGTTATCTAAGGTGAATGACCTGTAGAACACACAGTATGTATAATGATAGCTGATTAAAATGAATACTGGTACCAAAGATATAAAAAATACAGACATATTCATTTTTTTAAGGAAAGAAAATCCAAGGAATTGTGTTAGGTATGTGAAAATAACTGATATCTAGGTCTGGCTAAAAGCTCATAACAGCTAAAAGCTCATAACAGCTAAAGTGTTTACATACACCTGTCATCTATAAATTATTTAGATTTGTTGGTAAATGCTCCTAATGTAAAATTGGCTCAGTATTGTGCCAAAAAAAAATCAGTAATGCACTGACAAGCTCAGCAAAGTCTTTATTTCTATTATTTATTGGGGTGTATTTCAAGTTACATTTACAGTTTACTATTTTTGGATAGAGTGGAGAAAATGGTTAGAACCCCAGTCAGGTTTTTATTGATACCCTGATGACTTTGTTAGAGAGATTTATCCTCACTTCCTGTCATGCTAACATTTTACCAGGCAGGAAGTGAGGGGACCTCCTTATCAGCAACACAGTAAAGAAAATACAACAAGGGTAACATGTTTCCTTTCTTACAATTTTAACTGACATTTGTTTAAACAGATATAAAGTAATTTTTCATTATAATATCTGCAATGCAAGCACTTCTTTAGGAGTTGTAATACCTACATTAATTGATGAATTATAAACAGTCAAACAGTGATAGGGTAAAATCATTTTTTTTGCTTTTATAGTCACTTACCATTTGCTTTTGTGCAGGCTCCCAGTAAATTTACAACATTGAGGTGGTTTCCAATGTGGATGAGAATCTTCAACTCTGACATTAAAGCTTTGTGCTCACTAGCTGTGGCTCCCTCTATAAAAAATAAAAAAAAGAAGAAAATTAATGTTTTGTAGTAGACTACAATAAACACACAAAGAATTGTGATAAAATAAAAGGCAAAATTAATAGTGCATGTGATATCTATTAGTCAAAGTACTTGAAAAATAATCTAGCAAAAAATAATAATTATAATTAAAAACAAAAAAAATGTATTAATTACCTTCATTTACTAGATAACAAAACTGGAGATAATTAAGACCAGCTATAAGTTGGCGTACAGAGACAGGAAAAGTTCCTGTCTCTGTACTCTATTTAGCAGAGCAGCATATTTGCTTCTGCTTCCTCCTCCCCTTCCTACCTATGACTGGTTCTTAAGAATTCTGTTGGCTGTGCTAGAATCCATTAGTTTTACCAACCTTTTATGCCCAGCCTCAGACTGTATACAAATTTTTGATTTAAAAAAATAGTTTTTCTAAAACCTTTTATTATTTTGTAATTATTTGTTGGGATTGGTGAGTAGAACCCTGGCCTGCTCATGCACTGGTGTACATAGAGGGTAGATGCCTTGCCAGCATGCATGGATCTCCTTCAAGCTGCAACTACAAGTGATAGGATAGAAAATGCTTCTCAAATTAAATCCCCAATGTGCGCATTGAGTGCACAACGTGGGCCTGCACCCACTTGGGGGCCGGTGTGCACTGTATATACTGCACACATTAGGGACACACCGGAGATCCCTTGTTTTATAGTACTAGGCAAACTGCTACATGATGTATCTAGTAGTGATTGTAATGGTTGGATTATGGATTTGAGGCTAAGCTTACCATCAGTACATTACACTCACCTTTTAGCATCTTGACTGCCACTGTCTCACAGCTGTTACTTTTACTGATGCCAAAAGCTGATGCTTCAACCACTTTACCAAAAGCACCATGTCCTAGAACTTTACCTAGAAAATAAATAAAAACTATTATATTAAAATAAGGCACACATGACTGTTTATTTTTTACTTGTATTATAACATAGAATATTGTATTACAGCTGCTGTTACTGGTACTCTTTGACTTGCTTTACTGCCTCACCTCCTTTTGGCAGCAAATAAACAGCACTTCATCTGATGGTACAATTGCTTTCCTGGTTTCAAATATGTATCATTGTAGCAGTGCATAGGGTTTTTATTTCCTACAGAAATCAATGGACTTTAAACTTTCAGATTCTATGGCAGGTTTGAATCTGATTGGTAGATTTCATCCAATACTGATTCTGGTTCTTTTCACTGACACTTGCTACGTGAGGCCCTGGTGCTTTCTGCCAGGCAGTAAAGAATGTGTTCTAACTAATTAAATTCTGTTTGATCCTAAGCCAGTTTAATGATCCACATAAGGGTTCTGTGAAATAGATAATCAGATTATAAGCACCCATGCTGAGGAATGTATCATATGCACATCTGTAAACTCTAGAATTTAGTATGTATTGTGAAAATGGCAACATATTTAATTGGTCAAGCTGCATCGCTCTTCCCATTCATTATGGGAAAAGTAAAGCAGAGGTGGTGGGGGAAAAAGCCAAACAAATGTTTGCTTTAGGGCCCATTTATTGCTATAGGGCCATAAACAAAAATGGTAATATGTTGGCAACAGGTATTGTCAATGGCTTTTAACATTATCCACTCCAATTTATAAATTCACAAACACGTTGAAAATACAAATCAACATGCATCAAAAGATATGCTAAAACACAAAGGAAAAGCATATGAACACATGACAATGCACCTCTATGCACACACATACATCTAAATGGGCCTTAATGGTCTATGGTACACCTGAAAGCTAATTGGTTTCTTGCTATGGCAACATGTTCAGGTTAGTTGTCTCCTCCCATTTTAAACATCATTCCCAATTGACACACTTAGCTGTGGGTGGGTGTGTATTAATTTGGAGTGTAAGATAATATGATATGTCTCACCAAGTCTTAGCCTATCCCGAGGAAACTCCCACTTGCTGGAGTCATAAGGTAGATATTCACATTGCTCCTCCAAGGGCACCTCACCAGGATCCATAATAATTGACAGGTAGCCTGTCTTTATCTCACTGTGGCTGGGCTAAAATATAAGAACAACAAATTACAGGCATTTCATAAATACAAGTAAGTTTTGTATGTTTAACATTTGTGGTGATTGTGTGTGCATGTGGATTCTCTAATGCTCCAATTAAGCTGTTGTAAAAGGGAGCAAGGTGAGCTGAGCTGCTGAGAGAATGACTTGAAGAACTACAGTGCTTCCAATGTGAAATTACTCCACAGTGCCTGCAGGTACATATGTAAGTGAGGACTTGTTTTGAAGATCATTTGCTGTTCGTTAAAGGCATATATCTTCTTTTGTACACTAAAAAAACATGTGCATATATTAATTGTTTCCATTGGAGCCTGCAAGCAATGATGATCAGTGCAACATAGGTGCAATGCACAGGCTCCTGCAGACACTTCCTCCAACCCCAGGTTTAATATATACCTTTAGTTATAGAGCTGAAAGAAGTAATCAATGAAGTATGAGTGCGGTGATGTCACTGCACTTGTGCTTCATTGATATTTATGAGTCTCTTTGCCGTGGTGGCAGATGGGACTTGTAGTCTTCTATTTACAGATCCACGTGACTGGATCTGTGAATGGATGATGTATCTGTGCAGGTGAAGCCATGCACTGCCACACTTATTAAAATATTACAGGCTGCTACATAGAGAAGAACCCTGCAATTTAGATAATGGAGCTTCGGGAGCTTGAAGGTAGGAGCTTTGGAATGTTACCATGTCTTATGTTATACCCTTAATAAGGTGTAACATAAAAGTGGTCACTAAGGTGGAAATAGCCCCTAAGAACCCTTAAGGATATGTAAATATTTCAGTGTCCATAGCCTGGTCACAGGTTCTCTTTTTATGTAAAACTTGGAAAACTTGTGTCGATCAGTGAATTCTGACAGCAGTAGGTCCCACTGTCAGAATACAATGTCCTGGTCAGTGAGAGGATTCCTTCATCCACTTCACTTGTCTAGCTTTACATTGTTCATGACAAATAAAAGGAATCAAGGAACAATTATGGTCACACAAAGAGAAGCAGTAAATTAATTTAAAGTGTCAGTACACACTAAACTGACTAAATCTGTCCGTAAGCCATTAGAATTTAGTTTAAAATTTTTCATTTTCAGAACATTCATTTGATTTTCTAATGGTTACTGGGTCAAATCAGCGGTTGTTTTTTTTACCATAGTAATAAGAGAATTTGAAGGTATGGAATTGAAATTTTTTCCTAAACTAACAAAATTTTACCTTTTGAATGGGTTTTTTTGTTCAGATATAAAAGCTGCATACTGTATATTGTAATGAAACCTGTTTAATATGTCTGGGATTCCATTCAAACAGCAGGTCTGGATGAAATTTGAAGGACTTTCAAATGAAACTAACTGACTCAATGATGGCAAAAAAAAAATTCTGACAAATGATTTTTCAGAATTTCCACACAAACAAAAATTAAACCAAGTGAAGCCAGCTTAATTCCAAGCATAAATTATATGCCCTATCTTCTTCAAGAAAAGAAAAATGCTGAGCATCAATTTCATTTACCATCATGAGGAAATAACTAGTAACACTTACTTCCCAAATGTAACATTAGTACAATGTTAAAGCAAAAAATTACCACATTTTAAAAAATGAAGCAGTAAGGTATTCAGTCTCCTTTGCTATTTTGGTATAACAGCAAGAGAGGCAACACATATGGCAAACATTTATAGAGATGGCCATGCCAATGTTTATACATAAAAAAGTAATCTGTTCTCTGCAATTGTCAGAAACACATTTTCAATTCCAGGGGTTTTGCTGCCAGCGACAGCCCTGTTAAAATAAGGACTGTCCCTGAAATCTATTCTCACTACTCTGATTGTCCCAGTGCAATTGTTGGGCAAGTTAGTCTTCATCTATAAACTTTATACATTCAAATATAATTATACCTCTACATACTTTATTATTTAGAAGGGTTATTGTTTCTAATTAGGAAAAAACCTTAAAGCATAGTCAATCTCTGGTAGTCATACCATAATGAAAATTAAAATTTTATACAGCAATTCATTCAATTTCCAGTAACAACAGTTACTTTTTTTTATTAGCTTTAAAGGATAAGTTCACCTTTTAACAAAAAATAATAAATGCTAATTTTTTTGCAGGTAAAAAATGTGCATTTTTTATTTTTTGTTCCCCCCCTGACCTGTCAGTATATCTGCTTGCTCGTACATCCCATATGAACAAGCAGATACTACTGACAGGAAGGCTCAATGAACTACCACAGCGCTGTGGAGCTCCTTGTTAGTTCATTGAAGACTACAAGACGACAGCCGCAAAGGAGAAGATCTCCATTTAGCTGTCACAGTGGGAATCGGGGGTGCGGGGGCCAGTCAGATCGTAACATGTTACATGCTACACCCTGAATATGGATGTAACATGCAACATGTTACGAAAGGTGAACTTATCCTGTAAAACCAATGTCTCAGTTTCACCCACATACCCTCTTGATGTTGCAGAATATAAGGATAAGGAGGATCCAGAAGAAGACAGCAATGACTCCAGTGCCGATCAGAATCACTATCTCAACATTAGTCCTGTCATCAGCTCCTGAAACAAGAGAGTGAAGACAAAATGATGACCTACCCAACAACACTGTTCTGTGCCCAACGCGAATTTTAAAGCAGTGATGATTTAAAGTGCACTTATGTGCAGACTATGCACACTAAAGCATTTGGATATTCTTAACAAGCAGTGAAGCCATCCCTGACCTATTTAGCTGCTTGAACTGTGAAGTAAAAAACACAATAAACACTCTAGGATGTTTTTACACTAACCCATATACTAATACAAGCTGTTAGCTGTGGTGAGGGGTGCTGCTTTGCATTGTTACTACAATGATAACACAAGTCACTGCACATGATGAGAATAAGTCCTAAAGATGAATTTTCTCCACAATATCTGTAGCTAAAAAGGTGAAAGAGAGCGTATTTTAAAGTGCTTTTACTGCTTGTCTGAAATATGTAAATACTTCCTAAGCACAGGTTTACTTTCAAGTAGACATAAAAACCTTAAATACATGACCTTTAGTTTTCTAAAACACTTTGGAGGCGATGTACTAAAACTGGAGCACACAGAATCTGTTGCAGCTGTGCATAGTAACCAGTCAACTTCTTTCACATGGGGTGGACTCACTATCAGTGGACAGATCCCCTGCTGTTCAGAGCGGAGCTGGCAGATAACAGGTCAGTGTACTCTCAGTTTATGCAGAGCGGACATGCACAGAGCCCGCTCCAATCCCATCCTGTCCGCTAAAAAAAAACGGAAGGAGATCAGTTCCCCTCCATCTAGGTGGATCAGATCAGAGAGCAGTCGAGTGTAAATAGACAGTGGAGTCCATTTACACTCAACTGCCCTCTGATCCGATCCATCGAGATGGAGAGGGGCAGATCCCCTTCTGTTTTCTTTGTGGACAAATTTGTTTACACCTGCCAGTCCATAGGGATGAATGGAGGGTCTGACCAGGTTTGCCTGAAAAACTGACAGGCAGACTTAATTGGACCCTTCGTGTGAAAGGGGCCAAAGTGATGCAGCTCTCCTGCAGGGACATTCTGCCTACATTCACTCCAGTGATCAGGGAGTTCCCTGATGGTGACAACAATTGATTATTTCTGTCTAACATGTTGAAACAGCTATTTGTAGTCTCTATCAGAAGAATGTGACAAGGTGACAATGTAGGAGCAGAATTTGGAGACGGGTACAGAATGATGTCACTCTGTAACAGGAAGCACTCGAACAAGAACTTTCATGGCACGATCAACTGGTCTTATTTTAATGAAAGCTGCAGATGTAAAAATATAGATAACTTTTAAAATCACAGTAATGTGTTAAAGCTTTACGATACAGAAATATATACAGTTTAAGGTATATACATCTCTCAAGTTTTCCTGTGACTATCAACCTACTCCTACCTTGCAAACTCATCTATTGGTCAAGTGCCCATTACATTAAACCACCAACCAGAAGGCTCAGCAGGTGGGAAGAAAGGGCAAATACGGACTTCCACATGAAAAGTCAGGACCTGCTTATAGTTTATACTTCCTTAGTCACTGGATCTACTGTCATATGCTCAGTTTGAATAGCCAAGGTCTGTGGCAGGTCCAGTTTAGTGTCATCCTTGTATTGTATTAAATGTGTAGACATAAATACAATTCATCATTTCTAGACCAAAACATCTGATTTATGTGGATGACAGCGCTAGACTGATGGAATCAAAGTTTGGCATATTTTGATATGCCAAAATAAAGTTTAATATATTTGAGAAGTAGAACTTCCTTCTAGGGGTGGGGCAATGGCAGTATACTCTGTTATGGTCTTGGGTTGCTGGCTCTCTGATACCACAGCGAGGATGTTTCAGCAGGAGACACTTAGCTGGTTATAAAAGAGCGACCATTAACAAAAGATTGTCTCACCCGAGGGTTTATGGGAGGTAACAGGTTTATCCACCGCATTTCAGAGGAATCGCTTCCCGCTTCCTCAGTGCTTGCCTACTAGCCCTGTTGAAGAGGAAGGCAATTTCCCAAAACACATTGGCTAAACCTGTTACCTGTTATCTTCAATAAACTTCTTAAATGAACCCTTGGGTGATACAATCTTTTGTTACTTTTGGGCCTTCCTCTATAACCAACCAAAAGACCAAAAACATGACACCTAACATAATTCTATTGTCTTATTGACTGCTTTATTACTTCTCTGTTCTTCAATAATCATGTGAAAGATGCATATAGATCAGTGCCTAAAATAAAAAGTGGAATCTTCAAAGCACAATAATCACAACTTATGTGTAACATCCTCTAGCTTAGCTAGATAGGTTTGTTGTATTTCTTTAGGCAGAAGCTAAGTAGCAGCCTGTGAATGAGGCAGGAGTTCACCTCAGGAGAGGCTATGGAGGTTCTATGGTCAGAGCTTCTGGAGCCCTCCCATCTCTCCAGAAACCTGAGAGCTTTCTGGAAAAGGGATTGTTAATCCCCCATAGTATACTATCCTCTTCCCGCCCGGCCTATGGCCGAATGGCGGCCGGCAAAAACAATCACCTTTCCGGGTGGACGCCATATGGCGTCCTTTCGGGCATGCGCTGCTTGCGTGCCTGTAGAGCCACGCAGCGGCGCGATCTGTCACCGGCTGTGTACCTCGGACACGGCCGATGACAGAACTCAGTACCGGTCCCGTTGCTGTACCATGTGACCTGCTGTGACCAATTACAGCAGGTCACATGACAGTTGTATACAATGGATGGCTTCATTCATGCCATTCATTGTATACTAGTGTGTCTAGCTGTGAATGGTCACAGCGATCACATGCACAAGCTGGGCAAATCACAGCCCAGCTGTGTCATGTGATTAGCCGTGGACAAATCACAGCTAAGCACAAAAAAAAAAAACAAAAAAAAAAAAAACAAAAACCCTGAATGAATCGATGTCATTCAGGTAAATGCTTGCTTATAGCAAAGTAAATCTTTGCTAAAAGCAAATTGTGTAAAAAAAAAAATAAAAATACTGATCACTTCCCCAAAGTAGTACAATGTTACTATGGTAACATTGTACTACTTTGGTCATAGTGAAATAGGAAAAAAAAATCTTAAAATAAAGAAAAAAAATGTAATACGAAATTAAAAATAATAAAAAGTATTTAAAAAAATTATAATTTTTTTTTTCATACTGTCACCAGTCAGTGTCCCTGATCACTGCCATGCCAGTTATATGATGACGCTGTACTGCACTGGTGACAGTATGTAAAAAAAAATAGTGAAAATTATTTTTTTTATTTTTTCATTTTCCGAAAAATTATGACAAAAAAAATACAACTTCAAAAAACTCGCCATGCCTCTTATGAAGTACCTCGGACTGTCTACTCTGCAAAAAGGGGTCATTTGGAGGATATCTGTACTGTTCTGACATTCTTGGACCTCAAGAAATTAGATTGGCTGTCAGTACTTCAGGATTGATCAATATTCAGATCTATACCATAGTTTGTGAACTCTACAATTCCTACAAACTAAAAAATACATCCTAATTTGGGTTATTTTCACCAAAGACATGTAGCAGAATACATCTTGGCCTAAATTTATGAAGAACAATTATTTATTTGCAAACTTTTATAACAGAAACAAAGAAAAACGTGTTTTTTTTTTCAAAATTTTCAGTCTTTTTTTGTTATTTAGCAAAAAATAAAAACCCCAGTGGTGATTAAATACCACCAAAAGAAAGTTCTAGTTGTGTGAAGGAAATGATAAAATTTTAGTTTGGGTACAATGTTGAATGACCGCGCAATTGTCATTCAAAGTGTGAGAGCGCTGAAACCTGAAAACTGGCCTGGGCAGGAAGGGGTAAAAGTGCCCGGTATGGAAGAGGTTAAGGAATTAACATAAGGAAGTGGGAAAGATAGGGACATAAGACAATAAGTAAATTGGATATGCAGGGACTGATGAATGCCCATTTTTTTGAAGTAAGAATTAGCTTAAAGTATAACTAAATGCAAAACGTTTTTCTTAGTTTAGTATATTGAGGAGAAGGATTAAAACACCTGTCAAATTTTTATTACTCTTTGTGCTGCCATTAGGGATATTCACTCTCACTATCTGGCCTGCTTGCTGTTATCACCAAAAATAGAAATAACAGAAAATCCTAAATGTTGGGTTGTCACCAGAACAGGAGTAGGGGGGAAATCTTCCAATGGGTACACTGATTCTGATGAGAACAAGGGATTACCTCAACTTGAAAGGATTTCCTCTCATTTTTTGTTATGGGAAAGGAAGTGACTGGAAATTACCCCAATGGGACACAGATGGCCAAAAAATCCTGACAGGGAGTATAACCCTCATCCAAAATGAAAATAAAAGTTTTTCTATGCAGTAGTTAAATTTTTACATCTTTGTTTCCACTAACCCAGAATGCAAATAAAAATAATGGAGGGGGCAATATAGCAGCCAGATTATCTCTACCTTCTCTGAGAAAGAATGCCCAGGGTTGACTGGTGCATGAGAAAGACAGTGAGAGAGGGAGAGAATCAGACTATCTATATTCTATTGGTGCAGGCAGATTGCTGAAGTTCAGAATAAGACAGAAATAACTTATGATAATGAACTTTTAATAATACCATCAACAGACACGCTGGCTGAGGAATTCACACATCCCTTTCCGTTACAGGCCGTACAGAGATACAAGCCAGCATCTTCTTCTCTGACTCTCTGGATGCTGAGTTTTGTGTTATGCTCCTCAAAGACTATACCTGGGCAGATACAAAATTCACAAGTATTGTATTAATAAATGTAAAAAAAAAAAAAACAAATTAAGATTACTGTACTCCAATATCTGAGGCCAGTAAGCAGAACAAAACCCTCCTATCCTTCACAACCAAGGAAACTGCCATTTTATCTACTGTTTAATCGGCATTTGCCAAACTTCTACATATGATCATTTAGGACCCCAGCCATTTTATGGCTTGACAGTTGGTTGACTGCCACAATTGTGGCAGTTATCATTG